GTGACGGGCAGAAAGCTGACAGCGGCAACCTTTGAAAGCGAAGAGAAGATTCAGGTATGCGACACTGCTGACAGGGACCCCGTGAGAACGGTGGGCCGGAATCAATTAGGGTAATCATGCGAACCACTGAGCTGCCGGACTGATACACAAACACAGTCCCATCTGCATGCTCCGTGTTTTCGGAGCTATCGTTTCGAAATTAGCTATCAGTGAATTATTTGTGTGAGGTCCGTCACGGTCATTACACATTCAATCAACCATTCCAGATATAAAATAAGACTGGAAAAGTGTACGCTGCGATTTGGAAAGCACTGATATTCCAAATTTATTTTTCATGCCACATCGCGTAGGTCACTGTTAAATTGTCAACCCAGAAGATAGAAATGTTCATTTCCTCCAAATTCTTTGTATCAATGGTTCCCAAACTCTTTCAGCAATTTTTACAAAACAATTGATTAAATACATATATTTATTTTCACAGTCTATACACAAACTTATTTAAAATAATGTTGTTAAAATATTATAAAATTTACAGTATAAAGTGTATTATGTTATATTTATGTCGCTCCTTTATCGTAGTACGACATTACATTATTCAGCGCTTCTATTTTTGAACGACATGTTTCGATGTTTTATGGCATCATCTTCAGGTTTATCAATCTATATTATTTTATTTTTTATATTATTTTATACTGTAAATGTTATAATATTTTAACAACATTATTTTAAATAAGTTTGTGTATAGACTGTGAAAATAAATATATGTATTTGATTCAACACAAACATGACGCACTTAAGATACAAATTGAAAAAAACAAAACAATTGATTACTTTTGTGAGTGTATTTATATTTTCCACAGTCAACGTAACAGTCGCGAGACATGTTTTATCGTCTCGTAATGACAAAGTTGACCCTGGATTTTCCATTCTTTCGCGACAGGGTGCCTTAAACATGAAGTTTTTCACGAATTACTACTGTTATCACTTGGTAAAAATATTTTTAGTGGTTCCCCACGTTTTTATCCATATCCCGGTGGTAGGCTATATAAGTCATAAGCACTGAAAGACAGCAAATGTTCTGCAGGACTCTGTAAGGTAAGTTCATTTACAAATTTCGTGAGAAAAGATTTTACATGAGACATATGTGATATCTGCTTACAAAACAATCCTTATTAATATATTCAGACGTAATATTTATTAAAATATAGGCTTATAAAACTATAATTTTTATCAAATCTAAAACTTCTTGACGATGGTGAAGAGTCAATTGAATAAAAATTTCCTTGGATATTATCCATCGTCTACTAAATATAAAACGTAAAACGACGTTTCGGAGATGGGACTCTATCTCCGTCTTCAGGTTCCTACACAGTTGGGCCCACTA